GGAATTCCAGAACATTTGATTGTGCTCATCAAGAACCTGTACATAGACCAGAAGGCTATCATTAGAACAGAACAAGGGGATACTGCATGGTTTAAAATCAGGAAGAGAGTGTAACAGAGTTGTATGCTTTCACCATATTTATTCAATCTGCAAATAATCAGAGAAGCTGGACTATGTGAAGAAGAACACAACATCAGGATTGGAAGAAAACTCATTAACAACCTGCAATATGCAGACAACACAACTTTGCTGGTTGAAGGTGAAAATGACTTAAAGATTTTACTGATGAAGATTAAAGACTTCAGTGTGCAGTATGGATTAAATCCCAACATAAACAAAGAAAAATTCCTCACAACTGAACTCATAAGCAGCATCATAATAAATGGACAAAAAAATTGAATTTGTTAAAGATTTCATACTACTTGGTTCCACAATCAACACCAATGGAAGCAGTATTCAAGACATCAGATGACTTACTGCACTGGGCAAATTTGCTGCAAAAGACCTTTCTCAAGTGATAGAGAGCAAAGATGTCTCCTTGAAGTCTAAAGCGAACTTACCCCAAACCATGGTATTTTCAATGGCCTCATATGCATGTGAGAGCTGGACAATGAACAAGGAAGACTGGAAGAAGAGTTGATGATTTCGAGTTGTGGTGTTGGCAAAGAATACTGAAAGCACCATGGATTGTGAAAAGAATGAACAAATCTATACTAGAAGAAATGCAGCCGGAATGCTCCTTAGAAGTGGGAATGGCCAGACTCTGTCTCACTTACTTTGGTTCTGTGTCAGAAGGGAACATTCCCTGGAGAAGGATATCATGCTTGATAAAGTGGAAGGTCAGCAAAAAAGGGGAAGGCCCTCAATGAGATGGACTGACACAGTGCCTGCAACGATGAGCTCAGGTATAACAAGGATTGTGAGGCTGCCACAGGACCGGGCAGTGTTTCATTCTGTTGTACACAAAGTCACTACGAGTTGGAGCCAACTCGGCACCTAACAACAACAACGACAATATAATTACTTTAAAAGTTCCTTTCTTAATATACATTGTAGATGCTCCCAAATGTTTTCTTCCATTCAACAATATATAAAAATATTTGTGAATTTTTTAACGAACTTAGATTCTTTTCCTTGGTGGAATATTAAAATATGATTGTCAGAAAAGGCAATTTAAAGAGTCACTTGAACAGACAGAAAATTCCCGTACTCCCTTTACAATCTCACAGATACTACTAAGTATAATATACATACTACTGAAAACTTGGATTCAGATTAACTAACAGAATATACTCAATTCACTATCCCAATTACTATGATTCACTCACTACCATCATTGTGACAAAACATTTTTTTTTAAGTATCAAATATGTTTTACTGGATTTAGTGAAAAAATACCCACAACTCCATATTCTAACTTTTTTATTCTTTTTTCTTTTGGATAATTGTGATTGGGTGAAAGTGTACAGAACAAATTCATTTTCCATACAACAGTTCATATACATTTTGTTCATGACATTGACTGCAATCTCCATCATGTAACAGCTCTCTTCCCACTCCCTTCCTCTGGTTACCCTTTCCCTGTGTCCTTCTTTCCTGTGCATTCCTGCCCTCTGAGGTATCTTCCTGTGCAAATACTGCCCTTCGGGTCTCCCATGGTTAATTGTTCTAAGGAATGTACCTACTTGGTGTAAATGTTCACTTTATATGCCTGTCTACTGTTTGGCTGGAAGTCACAGGAGTGAGTTCAATTCCAGCCTGAAGGGTCACTAGGGGGCCATAATCTCAGGGGCCTCACCAGTCTCTATCAGACCAGTAAGCTTGGCTGAAAGGATAATTTTTTTATACCTACCATGTAGAAAGCACCACCTTACCCCACTCTACCACCACCAAGTTGCAGAAAAGGTATTTAGGATTTGATTTTCAAGTTAAAGAAAGCAGATGTACAGTTAAAGATAGAGGTAAGTTTCTCCAAGCTACCAGGTAAGCAAGTGTATTACAGTTTGAAGAATGGATACATGATCTTTCAGGACAATCTAATACCATCAGTGAAACTTTCCAAAGGATCTTAATCATGGCTTCACAGAATCACCTAAGGAACTCCAACAAAATATTTGATACCTGAGCCCTACTCTGTTGTTGTTGTTGTTGTTGTTGTTAGGTGCCTTCGAGTCTGGAATCTGGACAGAGGAGAGCCCTACTCTAGAGACTGTGAAATGAATGGTCTATAACAATACTCATGTTTCAGTATTTCTTAAAACTGCCCTTAGTGATTCTATCTAGGGATCACAATGATCTGATTGATCATGGACACAGTGCAGGGCTCGGCAGTGATCTATTCTGTTGTGCATGGGGTCACTATGAGTCCAGGGCCAACTCCACAGCAGCTAATAACAACATGATTGTAACATGTAATCAGGATGGATACTACTAAGGTAGCCCTGAAAACAAGGCAAAATCTTCATTGTATTGATCTAAATGTAACATAAGAAACCCTGGTGTTCATTTGGCTACTACCCAAAGGTCAGTAGTTTGAACCAACCAGCGAGTCTGTGGCAGAAAGATGTGGCAGTCTGCTTCTGTAATAATTCACAGCCTAGAAAACCCTGTGAGGCAATTCTACTTTGTCCTACAGGGTCACTATGAGTCTGAATAGACTCAATGGCAATGGGGTAAATGTTATGTGGTAGCAAGGAAAATAATGTCATTTCTGGGATTAAACTAAGCAAAAGTGCAAACCAGGGAGCTCCATCATGATGCAATTAAAAAGCAATAATCTAGTGAGCAAATAATCCGAGAAGCTGGACTATATGAACAAAAACGTGGTATCAGGATTGGAGGAAGAAACAACCTGAGATATACAGATGATACAACTTTGCTTGCTGAAAGTGAGGATGACTTAAGGCACCTACTTCAGCAGGCTTTGAATCTCAAGGAATTCACAAAGAATAGCAGAGCGGGTAGAAACTAAAAGAAAACAGTTGAGGAAACTATCGTGAAACTTGAAAAAAAGTAGAGACTGAAGAGAAAGAAGGAGCAAATATTGTCTTTGCTAAACTTGCATACATTGACTTCTTTTAAAAAAATTATGCATTGATTGTGGTGAATTGTAGTCAATGTCCTAAGACAAAGTATATGTGAACTGCTGTATGGAAAGTGAATTTGCTCTGTAAATTTTCACCCAAATAACATATACATAAAATTCATATACATATGTTGTTGTTGTTGTTAAGTGCCGTCGAGTTGTTTCTGACTCATAGCGACCCCATGCACAGCAGAACGAAACACTGCCCGATTCCGCACCAGCCCCACAATCCCTGCTATACTTGATCCCATCATCGCAGCCACTGTATCAATCCATCTAGTTGAAGGCCTCCCCCTCTTTCGTCGACCCTCCACCCTACCAAGCATATATATGTATATATATATACACACACATATGTGTATATATATATACATATATATATGTATATATACATATATACGTGTGTGTGTGTGTATATATATATATATACACACACACATATATATATATGTATATATAATTATTCATTGAAAACTATACCAACATGAAAAAAATTCTTAAGAAGCAATATGCATCTACCTTCTATGAGGCAAATACTTAAGTTCTTAATTAACACATAAAAACAGGAACAAATTGAGTATTTATCAAGCACTTTTCTCTGCAGCATTCATTATGAAAATCATTTTACATAATTATCAGCATAAACAAAAGGATTTTATCTTACTTATCCTTTTAATTCTTAAATATTAGTAAGAACTCCGAAAATAGGCATGCTACACATTTTTTTAGATGAATGAATA